TCACATTTCGAAACTGCTGCTGGAAACAATTTAATTATTCTATTATTTTTTTTATTTGCAGGGTTTCTTCGAGGGAGAATTTTTTGTAAAGGAAAGAGGTAGAGGCTATTTTTTCAGTCAAGTTTGGCTTATATTATCAGAATACATTAACTTTACGTAAGTATAAATAATTTGGATCTAGTTTTATTTGCTGTTATTTAGTATTATAATTTTGGAGAAGAATACATTACTAGAAATGCATGATTTTGTGTTTTGTAATGAATTTGTTACTCGTTAAGTAATATCCTGTATTAAACACATAATTCTTCATTCTTGTTTCAATATTATTGTTCCTGTCACTATTTTAAAAGATATGTAGTTTATGTTCTCTGTACAAAGTAATATTAACAAATATCAAAGATATAGTTTTTATACTTCATTGTCAGTGTTTTGAAAGTAGATGGAATGGTATCGGTTTCTGAACTATGTGTCGCATGCAATTCCAGAAATTTTATTCTCCATTTTATAATGAACTTTATTTTCGTTTAATAATATTCCTCCTAAATTAGAATACTTAAAATGTGTTAAAATTCTCCAAAGATTTATTACACATTGACACTAGAATACGGGCCGTTTCTTTGTGGGTTTTCTAAAAAAGTAGACTGTACTGAAACAGTTATACAGAAAATTTATTGTGACGACCACGTCTGTGTTCACGGTAATTATAAAATCCGAAACCTATCAGACCTACATCGCATATTCTTTTCATGTTCACCGTCGTGATGGCTTATAGCGATAGCCTTATTCATGTGAATTTAATAACTTCCAAATAATGAATCCGCGGTGAATACAGGTAGCTAGGTTTATTGCACCAGCTTTAAACCCGGTTTTAGTCGCCTGGCAACAAAACAAGAGAATGAGAATCACAGACTAAATTATTGTATACGTTATGTGAAAAGGATATGACATTACTTTCGATTTTATTTTACATCTGTTTACTTCTGTCTGTTAATAAGTTGTTCCTGCTTATATTTACCCCTCTCAAAAAACTTTGCAACAGAACAATCAAGTGTTTATATGGACTACGCGGCGAGTAAATTTTTACTAAACGGTGGGGTTCATGTGAGTCACATTTCAGTCCACAGTACGAGTTCTCTTCTGCGGAAGGAAATGGCATCCGCTTACAGAACGGGTCGTGGACCGGTCTGGTGGGCGAGCTTCAGAGCGGGACTGCACATCTCACCGCGGAAGGTCTGAGTATGACCAAAGCCCGAGACAGAGAAGTGGATTTCATTGCACCAATCTGGGTTGAAAGGTAATCCGAACTGAATATTTCTGTCTTCTGGGTTGTTGCGCTGTGTAGTCTGGTCGATGTTTACCAACGTTTCAGAGGTTATACTGCCTCCGTCATCAGGGCGATGAGTATGAAGATTTCTGTCTTCTGGGTTGTTGCGCTGTGTAGTCTGGTCGATGTTTACCAACGTTTCAGAGGTTATACTGCCTCCGTCATAAGGGCGATGAAGTATGACCTCAGAAACGTTGGTAAATATCGACCAGACTACACAGCGCAATAACCCAGAAGACATACTCACCGCTGTGAAAACCTCAAATCTTACGTAATATAAACTGATGCTTAGACTAACACACTTCGTCGATGTAGTCTTCTGGGTTGTGAGACGTGTAGATTTGTGCTCGTAGGTGGGTACCTACGTTTCTGACGAACATTTTATCTTCATTTGTCTTTTATTTCGATAAATAACAGGCATTAAAGAGACATGGCACACACTGTGGTAGTATATTTTAATCTGTCAGAACAATGTTTGATGGCCAAATACGAATACGTGACATAGAGCAACATGGATTAATAATCTATGCTATTTAGCGATGCTTTAGGAGCTATTATTTATCGTGGAATTGTATTAGGATGAGTGTATTCGGTGTGCTTCAAATTGTAAGCGGGGTGTTTGTGAACTAGTTTATAAATTCACGGGAGGGACCGAGGAAAAACAAGGATTTTCTACAGAAAAGAAAGCAGTAAATCTATTCATTATTTAAAATTGTTTCGTATAGGCCTGACAAAGCTTATATATAGCTCGTTATAAACATAAATTACTTTATTCAGCACAGCTTTACCAGAAATCAGTATAACCTACTTTATACTCACGAAGTAAGGGTCTATTTTTAACGGCTCTAATAAATTAAAATTTCTTTCAGAAAAGTTCCTTTCATAAAAGCATCGAGTTTGTACGAGTATTCATGGAGCAATATCTTTCAGCCGTTCACATGTCAGCTTTGGATTGCTTTGATCCTGACAACTATCTTGTTATCCATTGGCGTTTGGCTCATCAACTACGTCTCGTGCCAATTTCGGCCAAAAGACGAGGAGCTGACTTCAAGTTGCACGTATTTTAACTCCTTATTTAACGTCTTCGGAAACATATTAAATCAAGGTGAGACAATCTTGTATGGAACTCCCCATTCGTGTGACTTCTCCCACTTCCTTATCCTTTGGTCTTCGCGGCTGAAGTTCAATGTACAACTTCTGCTTTTTGGAGTAAATAAAGTTAAAGGTTTTTCGACGTTTCGACAAACATTGCTGTTGCCATCTTCAGGGTGACTATTGGGATTTTAGGTAGCATTAAGCTGAAATAACCGTACTTTGCTATTCTCCTACTAGCTTAATTTTGTTTTTTATTAATGTACAAGGATTACATTAGCAATCTTACAAACCAAATTTACAACAGGTATGTTATCAGACTTCCCTACCTTCAATGGCCTCGACTGACTCAGGATAACTTCGGAGGACATGGATTCCTATTCGAAAGTTGTTCTCTCTGAATCCATCTATACGCTCCTTTGGGTTTGCCCTAACTTTTTGAATAACTCTGTATATTATACATGTTCCACTTCTATTATGAAGAGTATTTATGCACCTCTTTATAGCCATTTATTTCATTATGACAGCCAAGAAAAATAAATCGCATAGGTATGATGGAATAATTTATATTCTTGGCGAGGCGTCTGTTCCAGGTCAGACCACCGCTTTGAAGTCCTCGTCCAGTCGGATCCTCAGTGCGGTGACGTACTGGACGTCCGTAGTTATTCTCGCTGGCTACTCAGCATCCTTCGTCTCTTATCTGACTGTGAGACATCCCATCATTCCCTTCAGCACCTTCCACGAACTTCTGGAAAAGGGAACTTATCGACTAGGGCTACTTCAGTACTCTTCCCTTATGCCATACTTTCAGGTTGGTGTGAAAATGAAAATACAGAGGTCGTCAAAATGACATCTTCTACATCCCCAAATTATAGACTGGGTTAGGATCAACTTAATCTTTTTCTGTTACCCTTTTTCTACACAGACTTACAAAGCAGATGGTGTAGCGAAAATTCCCAGACTTATATTCGGGTGGTACTCGGTTCAAATTGAGGCTAGGCTACTGGCTGTCATATCTGAGCTTGTTCTAGATTTCTCTCACTTCCCCCCATCCTTCCGCGACTGCCACGATTACCTCCTTCCACACACACGTTTCTTCACAAGTCATTCGCTCATAATTACCTTCTCAGCTCATTCGCCATATAGTCCTACGTATAATGCTACCCTAAAGACCATAAATTGTTAGTTCAAAACGTAATTAAAATTAAAGAAATATTCTAGGTTTATGCAAACATCAGCTGGTCGAGAAGGTACCTATGTTTTATGGAACACAAACGTTCATTATTGAGTTCATGAAATACTACCTTTGTGACATTTTCCCGAGTTAGATAAATCCATTCCACTGCTTAGAACAATTTTCACTTAATATCCACTGTAATATTATCTTCTCGAGAGGTTTCAGTCCCTTTGAACACTGTAATTAAACTTCTTCTTTCATATAATGTAGGGGATTTGACAATCTGTCAGCTATTGGCACGTCAAGAAGAACTCGATGCATGGAGTTTCGTAATTTGTCAAACATAGCAACATTTTGTTACTGAAAGTAAAATGACCATCATACCTATGGATCTTGAATCTAGACCTAAAAATTGCAAAGTTTTCTTGATGGTTTGTACATATAATATGACTGTGTCTAACTGCAAAGTGGCGTTTACTTTTACAATAAAATGGTTTATGCATTTATCATCGATTGAAGTGTAATTGAAATGACCAAGAAGTGAAATGCTGCAAATTATGTTTATAGGATTAATATTTGAAGTTGAAATTTGCAGTTCTCGTCTAGATAAAAGTGTCGATTTCTCTGAAACTTTGTTAATCGCCTATAAGACTGCAAAACATTGTGTTATTTACCTTGACAGAAAGCCAAAGATCCAGTACTGAAGCAGCTGTACAAGAAGGTCATTGCGCCGCACAAAGAATCAACCCCATCCTCAAGTCTGGAAGGGCTGCTTCGCGTGTGCAATGACACGCATTACGCGTTCATGTATTCGATAGACTCAATTGACAAGTACTCAGCCGACGTGACGTGTCAACTAACGGCGGTGCCGAATGCCAAGATACAGACGATGAAAAGCATGGCGACTGTTAAGAGGAGCCCGTACCTCGGCCTGTTCAGACACACGTGAGTTCCCTTGGTACAAACAAGAGTCGAACAACTGGTCGATAGTTGCTTGGGATAATTATTATAAATATGTCAGAGCGTTTACCGAAAAAAGTGTTTAACGCCTCGAAGCATTACGCTATTCTAAATAGTCATTTTCTTAAAAAGTGGCTTCTATTTTGAAGAAAACATAACACCTGTATTATAAAGATCAGCTGGTTAATGCTGACTGCGTCAAAAAATAATCGCTAATTATTCTGAGATTCATACGAAACTCATAAATAAAGTTTGTGGGTCAAATGAAGAGTTGTTAATCGTAGACTAGAGTAATGAAGTCAGAACTGGCTTGGTCCTAACCAGGGAAGGCAAAGGAAGTGGTTATTTAAGAAAAATACATTAAATAACAAATGACAATTTCTTCATAATTATTCTACACTGATTTCTTCCAGCAAAGAATAAGAAATTGACTCATCTGCTTATCTCACCCACAGTAGCCTACGTATTTATAAAGGTACGGAATGGATTACGTTTGAAACAGAGGACGGAAATTTTTGATTAGCACCGGATCAACGTTATGGGACTCAAATTGAACTTTGTCAAAATGTCTCGTTGCCCATTCCACACGATACGATTGAGAGGGCGTCAAATAAATAAAATACAAAGAACTCATAGCATAGGCCCATGTTTTGAATAAAGAAAACTTCACGACAGGCCTTACAATATATAGTGTATGACTCTTTTGTGAGTCCCAGGTTCAAATCTCGGCTGCAGAATCAGTAATGTAAACTTCTTTGAGGTGCACGGTTTGATGTTCACTTACTGATCCATGCATGGACTCTATATTACCATTGACTTCGTACCCGATTCCTTGGAAATCACAGAAAACTAAACAGTTCTCTCAGTGCTTCGCATTCTTAACATTCGATGCTAATAGGTTTACAAGGCACTACATAACGTACGAATTATTCTATGCTACTTGCATTGTTTTATCTTCTTGACTTTGGATCTGTGTTTTGTAGTCTGGGTGATAAAACTGTGATTAGCAAATCATCCTTCAAATTCATGTTTTCTTTTGTGTACTATTGATTTTTGGAAAAAATTCCTAATCGTTTTTCAAATTCGGAACACAGAATAATTCTTCCTATTTGTTGATTCTTGGTCTATTTAACTATGATTTTCAGATGATGAATATGAATAATAGATCAGAAATGATATTAAATTAATAAAATGGTATACATTTTAAAGCACTATCATATAAAATTCCTAGAGTGACAAAGGAAAGCAACGGTAAACCTCAGTCACGAATTCCAGTAGTCGGGCAATAATTGCAAACCGGAATCTCCCAAAACCATGTAAATTTTGGTAACCACTGAATCGTTCTAACGATACACATTAAACAGTGTAACTTGTAAAAGAATCGTTCTAACGATACACATTAAACAATGTAACTGGTAAAGCATAGTAGCATCTTCTACTTTTGTTCCATCAGGTCCGGCTAATTATATTTACTTCTTAATTGTTATTTTTTGTGTTTTGTATCTCCTTTGTATCGTGTCCATTGCAAAACTGACCATTGAACTTTTTAAATAATTAAAAAGCAAATAATTATTTTGTATTAAAACCTTCAATACAGACAACGTTCTGGGTGGGATATGTGTAAGTATATTAGATTATAAGGTGAGGAATCAGGACGAAAAGAGTTACGAATCAATGCTTTAATTTGTTATGTTGCAGAACGCGCAAACTGCAAGAGAGCGGCATTGCCAAGAAACTTCTCGTTCACTCCTCCACGAAGCTGCCTAAAATTGATGTCCCCCTTGTCATTGTGGCCTTTGAAAGCGTGGTACCCACTTTGTACGTCCTTATAATAGGAACAATTGCTGCCATCACCATTGCCAACGTTTCAGAGGTCCTTGCTGCCTCCATCATCTGCAAGGACCTCTAAAAATTTAGTATATTTCTACCAGACTACACGGTGCTACAGTTCAGAAGATAACCCACTTTGAACTCATCGCCGTGAAAACCTTAAATCCTACTGAATAGGTCTACATTCGACATAAAATTAATGTATTTTCTTCGTGCAATGTTATCATCAATAAGACGCTAAATACGCACTCATGTTTAATGTCTTGCAATAGTGGAACCATTTCAAGCTGTTATTATTTGCTGACTCCCACCTCACAGTGTTAATTTTGCAACAACTAGTCTTACGTTTGAATCAATTTCTATTACATTTATTCCATGAAATTTATCATATGAGAAATCAACCTGAACTCAGGCGTGACGTCAGCAGTTTAAGAAGGTATTGGAGAAGCTCTTTTTCACACATATCGTTAAGAAATACCGTGCCTCGCTTCGAGATCAATAGTTCAATACCGTGTTCACAGGAGTCCACTGACGTTATTCAATAAAGAAGTCGATTTATGTATGTTTACCTATCTACCAAACAACCATAAGAATTTGTACCGATTTCAGATTGTTCAATAAAATGCTTGAACGATAACCTCACAGAATCATAAATCACAATGATATCGTTGGGGGAAACGAGTTGCCTTGAGATGCAGCTCAGCAGATTGTATCGAGCTAATGCATTGTAACATTTCAAAATGGGCTTTTATGAAAGATATAAGCTAAAAGATATGAAACAAATATTAATTCTAAATAGTATGAACTGTATTGTTAGACCGATTTGACTTACAGTCGCGTTCAGTTCAGAAAGGTACTGTAACGTGGTAGAAACAAAAGTCTGATAAGAGTGTTAACAGGTAAACCTCTGCGAATTCTGTTAGAAGATACATTTTTATTATTAATAATACTCCTTATTTCGAAAAATACAAAGATGTTTCGTAATATAGGCATACTTTCCTTGATTTAACAGTTTTAGTGTTTAATTGTGCGAATTAGGTACTTGATTCTAAGATATTTTAATGTATTTGTGGTTTACTTCAGAATATATAGCGTCAAGAGATGGGATGAATAATTAATAAAGAAATTGAAATGACAATGAAAACGTGGTCGTTGTCTGAAATAAAATACTGCCTGGAGGAACTGAGGAAACCTACTAAAAACTTCAGACAGAATAGACGGTTTGTGGGTCGATATTTGAATCCGTGACCTTGGAATGCGAAGCAAAATTGACACGTCACAAGGCTGTAATATTCGGTGAAAGCATCCCGAATCCTAGACAAAACTACTTAATGATCGCATTACATGTACTAGGCCTACATCACTTATACAGTAACAAGTCATAAACCTGTGGACATCATAAAAAGTGTCGAAACATCTGTATTACCTAGAGATTTGCGAAATTATTTTCATATTCATGTACCGTCAAATCGGTTACATAACATTTGAGGATTTCGAGATAGTGAAAATGTCGAAGTCGTTTTTAAAGGCTCAAGATGGTGTCAGAATATTCTTTCGAATTGTTGGCATCAAATCCACACGACGTTGTAACCTAGATCTACGCCTTGGTTTATACATGGTACCTAAGTTCTGGCTGTAGTATCACCTTTGCCAGTTATATGCAATTCGTTACTTAATATGCCTATATTCGCATAATTCCTCCATGTCTGAAAGTAGTTTATTACGTCTGCCTCATAAAAGATAGGTGTATATGTAACGTTCAATATTAAATCCCGAACCTCGAAAAGAATTCTTTTTGTATCTGTAATGTCCTTTTCCACCACTGTCATTTTTATTATTAAGAGCTTCCAGCAAAATACTTTGTCACCAAATCATAGAGAAACATTTTTCGATACATCAGAGACTCGTTCTTCAACCAAACCAGCTTTCATCATGAATGTCTCACAGCAACTTCCGATGTTGACCGGAAGTGAAATATTATGTGAAGTATGAAGACAGGAAAGGCAATATTTTCGTCGTGGAAACTGTTCTGTTTCTTCCAAGGCGTTAGCAAAATACGTTTGCATGACAAATATTTGTAATCGTCATTGTCAGTACAACGATGTATAGGTTGATGTACGTTTCCTGTTTATGCCTAATGTTCGCGTTCTCATTGTCATAAACGTTATAGTAAATCCAATAAGTAGTCGCCTATAATGTTTTTGTTGAAGTAATAAGCCATTTTTTCTGTGGTACTGGAACTGAGTAACTCTCCAGTTAGTTATTAGCATCACGACTACGATTTAACAACTTGTTTATAAAATAAACATCTGTTGGTTACTAAGTTAATAAGTTTTTAGTTATTAAGTTTAGTACTAAGTTAAAAATAAATACAAATTGACTTTATTTAATGGCGGGACTGCGGTAAGAATTAATTATTTCAATATTAACTCACTTCACTCATTCAAGTCCTCAGTTCGTTTCCAGTGACTTAATCACTTTGTATATTGCAATAACGTTAATTTCCTTACAGATGTTCTTTACCATAAAAACGAGGCCAAATACGAGTGAGAAAGAAATGAAGAATAAGACACCACAACGTTTGTCCGGATAGACTAAATACAGAATCTTTTCGAAAGAACTACTTTAATTCTTTAACTTCTTCTCATTTTTGTTTTTTATAATGTTGGTGCTCTTGAGTAGAGTAATGTTGGGAGACAGATTTTACAGCTTTAGTTGTAAATATGGTGTCATATACTACAGAGAATAGGGTGTTTATTTTCAATAGTCAGTACTTTCGTGAACATTCTGTAAAACACACAAAACTTTAGGATAATCGATTATCTAGTGGAGACTGTAACTGGACATCACCTGAATAAACGTTTAAAGAATCACACCGGCACGGTTCTGCTTAGAACCAGGGACTTTTATCGTTAATAAATTACATATAATTAGGAAGCAGTTGGGAGTAAAATTATAGAAACTAAAAAATGGTGGCGAATTACTGCTAGAGGTATTCCAGAGCAACGGACGGACGAAGGAATGCCCAAAGGGGTTGGATTACTCACAGCAGCCTATTATAGGCGTATGTAGTAAAATTATACATTTGCTAAATAAACATTTAAATTTCTACTTTTGATTTCAGAGGAATTTGAGTGAACAATTGCATTTAAGGGGTCTAACCCCCTCCCCCCCCCCCCCCCCCCCGACAGCGCGTAAAGGTTCCTACAGAAGGTCGTCGTCAAAGTATGTAAAATTATTTTTTTTTTTTCTACTATTCATATATTTTATTTTATTTCTCTTTTAAAAGAACAGACCCATATTTTGCTTATGTGAATGTACACAACACCGGCTGATAAGTGCTCTTGACTTCCACTCGTCCCCAAGAGAAAAGACACGCGTTCTCTTACATCACGTAACGGCACGTATAGTCACATTATTACAAGTAAACTTTACAGTAGACCTATTTAAAAATAATTATAGGAATTTGTTCACAGGCCTTAGCATGAAGTATTTGTTACTGGCTTCTCTCATAGCATCTTGTGCAGGTTTCAACAAAGAACAGAATTTTGTCGACATTGTTGTTGCAGTGAAACAATTCTTCTACTCAGGATGTGTTTACATCCTGCATGATGACGACCTTGGTAAGTTTAAGTGATTAAAGATGCCATTTAAAACTGGTATTGATGGTTCTTAGACATCTGTCATTTCGTTTGATTTTAAAGAAAAATTGGCTGTATTTATTTTAATCTCTGTATGTGTTGAGGTAAACTGGGCCGCTTGATATAGCTCATATTATATTTTCTCAATTGTTAACCATCATCGTTATTTTTGTAATATTTCGTGAGCCTATTCCGTATTTAAATATGTAAGGTACGTTTTGAATAATCTGTTCAAGTATCTTCCTTTCAAACTGCGTCTTCTTATTGACTTACATTATTAAATATATTTTTGTATTTTTTAGGGTTACAAAATAGAGGGACACTTAATAGGGTTGGAAATTATTTCTCAAGGAAGGGGGTACCATTATGCGTAACTACAACTTCGAAGTTCTTGCATTACCCGGAAGTGCTTCGTTGTAAATACAATCGTCCCATTTGTATACTTCCTTCAAACAAAGAAACTGTCAGATATTTATTCGAAAAGGTAAGGATTTGTCTCTGCGAAGCGAAATTAGTAGAATTTCACTATACATTTATCAGTGAAAATTCTTATATAAGTAACTTAACCAAAGTTTCATAGCGAAGGCAAACTCACATTTTATTTTCCAGTTGGCTGGAGAGAAGATTCAGCTATCGAGTGCAGTCTGGTTGCTGTTTCTGGACACGAACTCCGTACCCAAAGAATTCTTCGCTGATATTGACGTTCCTTTTGACTGTGAGTTCCTGGTGGTTCTACAAGAAGATGGCCGCATCACACTGACAGAAGTGTACCGTGTTAGCCCCACTAATCCGCTTCAGGCACGTCTGTTCGGCAACTGGACTGCTGACAGACGACTAATTGGGTCCACTGCGGGTTTCTACGAAAGAAGGAAGAACCTTGAAGGACTTGAGCTGAAGACAGGAACTGTAGAAGTGCGTAAAGATGATTAATTTGTTTTCCTGATTAATCGACTTTTGACTATTAATTTCTGTTTTCATTTATCATCAGCAGTAAATTATAAAAGCAGCCAAGTCTTAAATATAAAGCAGGGGGGTATGTAATAATTATAATATGAAGACAAGTTGGCATTCATCACTGTAATAACGTACATGAGGTGTTAACAACACTCTGACAAAATAAATATATTAATAAGTTGATATAATTGCGTCATATTGTGAATTAAAATTTAATTATTCGTGTTTTTTCCGTCTAATCACAATTGTATATAAATAAAATTATACATAAGATATTAAAATATCATTTACATATTTGGTACATCTTTTTACTACATGTTTCGGTTACATTGAACCATCTTCAGGTGTAAAGTTAAAAGTTAAAAATTATAATCTTATAAACTAAAACTTAATTACTGTTGTTGTGTAACTTTCGATGATGTTTACTTCCAAATTCATTGGAGTAAGGGTATATTTTGAAGTGATAGTGGTTCAACATTGGCCAAGGAAGAGCGCAGATATGTCTTGAAGGTATTCAGAAGTGCTAACGTATCCGAGGAGAACTGGATCAAGTTCTCCTCGGATATGATAAATGATATTTTAATATCTTATGTATAATTTTATTTATATACAATTGTGATTAGGAAGAAAAAACACGAATAATTAAATATATTACATAATAAACTTTATGTCAATGAATGCACTCTTATCTGTAGCAAAGTTTACTCTTCTCTTTGACACTTTGTCCACACGAACTTTATGTGTGCATGTATTTGTGTGGCCCCTACAGTTTCTTGTGGTCAATATCGTACCCGCGAAAGGCACTGCTGATTTAGCAACTACTGAGATAAGTAAATAGGACAAAAGAAGTTGTTAGGTTCTCTGAATATTTAATCAAACTAATCCAAGTTTACATGACGCATTAATACATGTTACAAAAAAGTTATAGGCAATTTATGTTTTACCCACATAGGCTTAATTGTGTGGTTTCCTTCACAGGGAGATTTTATAAAAATAACGAAAGACGTTAACAACAAACCGACGGAAATAAGCGGAAGTTACGCGGATATATGGCACGCTTTGGAAAGAACGCTGAACTTTACGTAAGTTTTTCTGACAAAATAAATATCGTAATAATAAATGTAACGTGCATTATTAGTAGTAGTGTATTAAGATTGCTCAAAACGTAATACAAAATGTCATAACGTTTAAAATTATTTCAATAAACTTGCTAAGCGTACTAAATTTATGTTCTATTTATCCTTTTCTTCAGAGTGTAGGGCACAGGTACGAGGTGCGATCGGAAAGTTTAAAGACTGCGCCTATAAAAACCCGTACACTTATCTCAGGTATTAAATTCATCCATCACCCTCGAAGTAGTTCCCCTGGGAGTGAACACAACGAT